TTGATCAGAACCTGCCACTTACTGAGAGGGAGCTGGGTCAGTACCAATGCTAAATGAGGAAATGATCGTGCCTCTGTTCAAAAACAGAACCACTGATGGCACATGTCCGCCCCTGCAGAGAAGGGTGGTCCGACGGTTTGATGATAATGACATCCTGATGTGATTAATAGGACTGTACACAGGACGGACGACGGGATTTTATTGCATTCAATTATGCTACGAGCTGATGTCATCAATGGTTGGGTGCTATTCATAGAGAGGAAGTCGGGGCATTGCTTTGAACTTGCCTTCTGTTCCTTTGGCTCACATAGTTCCTGTAATTTCCAGCACACAGTTTTGACACCTGCTACTGTGATGTCATACATTTGTGACAACTTGCAGTGCTCCAGGTTAGAAATGATGCTCATGGGGACATCGAGTGATTGTGCGCTGTGAAAATACACCCGGAAGCATGACGGCAGAAGAAAAGCACTCTGAAGTTTACCTTCAGTCAACATGGACAGGAATGTCAATAATTTGAACATTTCTTATTGGAGAGGTGGTAAAATGTAATTATTCAACAGACAATCTAAAAAAATGTTAAAGATATAAGTTTTAATTGAGATTTTTCTCTAATCCACAAAGGTTGAAATTAGATGTGCTTTAAAGCGCTTCAAATCAAACCTAACATGTAGTGACGTGGTAGACAATAAATTGTATTTGTTCCATTAAATAATTGCACCCTCAAACTATGGTGCAGAGGGTGCACCATAGTTTGAGGTGCACCCTCAAACTCAAAACACACTATATGTGTGTTTTCAAAATTAAGAAAACACACATAAAAGGTATATGTGTGTTTTCAAAATTAAGAATACAAAAAACTTGTGTGTGTATATATAGCAGACATAATGATATCCAGCTGCTGCCCCAAATATGAAAAGATTCTGAATATTGTATACAAGAAAAATGAGACCAAAAAGGTCTTTTAATATTGCCTGCATTAAATTCTGACTGTGGGGACATTAAATCTGAACTGTTAAACTTTTAACTCCATTAAAAATCAAATTAACAGCACTACCTTACATTTGCAACCATTAAATAAAGCATGTGACTAAGAGATTATTACGTTTCTCTTCCAGCTGCTGTGGCCGAACCTGCCAACGCTGAGGTGTCAACCACATCAGCCAACCCCAGCTACTTTGTCCGTCTGGGTAAGCTCTCTGCCAAGGTGCAGGAGCGAGCTCTGGAGCAATCCCTGGGCCGCGCACGAAAGGCCAGGGATGCCACCTACGCTGCGGTGGCTCAGATTACCAGTACCCTGGACTTGGTGGAGAGCGCCCGTGCCAGTCTGGGGACAGCAGGCAGTCAAATAGCAGGAGCTCCAGAACAGCTGCTGCAGCACTGGGCCGAGTGGAAGAAGAAACGGGAGGGGGAGGGACTGACCGAGTCGGAACCAGATGGGTCCAAGGATGAAGCCGAGGTCAGGATTTAACCATTTTTGAGTTTAATTCATTGTTTGGTTTTGTAATCTCAATGTACTTCCTCAAATACCGACACCGACTTTATGCCCTAAGCCTGAATTTGTATTTCAGAGTTTATAGCCTGATTTTAATTGACTGAAATGTTTATTTGGTCAGTTTTTTTTTTTCCAACTTTACTGTGACTTACATCTTATATTTCAATGGCTTTTTTTCATACTTACTTTTACTTTTTATATTTTAAATTAGTCTTTTACATTCAGATATTTTATTATCAACTTGTCTGAAACCCCTTTGCTCACTCTACCGCAGTAAACTCTGCAATAGAGCTGCGTACTGAAATGCGTTATTTTCACTCTGACAGCAGCTGGAATCGCGCGCCCTTTCTATGGTACGAGGCCTGAGTGACCAACTGAGGGCATCATGCTCAAGCGTGGTTTCCAGTGCTCAGGGTCTGCCAGGAACAGTCCAGGAACAACTGACCAGTGCGCGGGTAGCCGCCGAAGAACTGCAGTCATCGCTCAGAAACGCCAGCGCTCTCACTCCCGTCCTGCTAGAGCGAAGCCGCCATCACCTAAAACAAGTACGAAATTTTCCATGCCGTTTCAAGCACCGTTTTTGTATGCGTCAGCATGGGAAGATATGTCTGACTTATTATTCAACTTTTTTCCTTACTTTGCATGAGTACAGGTCTTCTACTATCTCCACACACAGGCTTTTACGGGTATCTGTTAGAATATCATCAAAAAGGACTTTAGGAATTTCAGTTTAAAAAACAATCTAAATTTATTACACAGTTAAGATGGTCTCTTCTATTAATATTGGTGGTTATAACTTGTCAATTATGGCTTCTCAGGAAATTTTAATATTCCAATACAACAAGATATTTATTAACGTTCCAGTCATACCATATATATTTAAATAGTTTTATGTAATGAACCCACCTTGTGGAGAGCGTCAGTGACTGCCTTCTAGACAACTGACAAATGCCAAAACAGAACATTACATTTTTGAAGTCATAAAAAAACAAACAAACAAAGATCTTTCTAATATTCAGATAGTTTAAGTGTAATTAATATATATTGATATAACTTTCACATTTGATCTGAATTGCTCAAACTAAATTTTTTGCTGCTGTTCTAATTTCTTGAGATGCACCTTACACCCTAAAGGTGTATAAGACTTAGCATGTCTCAATTTTGTCTTTCTTGTAGGAAAGATTAGCCTGTAGCTGTAATTTAACTGCTGTTTGTGTGTACCTTTCGTAGGTTCAACATTCACTGGATGGAGTCATGGACTATTTGCTACACAACACGCCGCTCAACTGGATCGTGGGACCTTTTGTTGCTCAGAAGACTGAGAGCGAACAAGGGGAAGTGCAAATGGAGTAGGCTAGCACGAACAACTTGCACTCAAGATTTTTTTGTTTTTTGTTTTTTTTGTCCTCACTTTTGTTTCTTTTTAACAAAAGCTTCCAGTATTTTGATGTTTTTTCAAGGAATATCCTCTCTAAAACACTGCATAATGTTCATTTAATCACATCTTTATGTCGATGCTTTTAAATGAAACTTAACTGACATTGCACTGATCACGCAGCATTTAACACGGTTGACATAAAAAGACGGTTTTCCTTTTATCTTTTACATTTGCACGTTTTTTTTCTTTCTGTCGAGTAATAACCCATCCCTTTTAAGATGGTACATTTGTTGACATTCCAGTCATTCCAACAGTAGAACCAGGAACAAGATGGAAGAGGAGTTGAGAGCACAGTTTCACGAGTTTATAACATTCACGGTTGTTCCATGTGAATGAGCTGTCACTAAAAAGTATTCAATAAATCTTGAACAGAAGACTGTCTCTGTGTTTCTCTTTAGTATTTATTCTGATCTATTAGCTAATGGTGGAATTATTGGATAAGTGTTGTGCATTGCTGTTTCAAATCTTTGAAGACCCTTCATAGAATGCTGTTGTATTTTAACTTTATTTCACCAAACATTTACAATTGTATTCATATCCTTGCATACACCAAATAAAGACGCACACCTTTAATTCTCGCTGTCTGAAGTTAAATCAGACCAAACATCTCTTGCTGTCAGTCAGAATGATCAAAATTATTTCTATTTGCTAAATTCCACAATAATGAAATAATGTCCTAGTGATCCATTTATTAAGTATCCAAAATCAGAAGTTTACATAAATTTCCTCAGTATTAAGCACAATTGTCCTTGAACTGTACAACTGTTAGAAATCTTTGCCCATTTGGAGGACCTGTTGAAGTTTAACTTTTCTTACTGATATCTTTGGATGTTGCTTCAATATGTCCACAAATAGTACTTTCCTCCTGGTACACTTGCAGCAATACAGCTCCACATCATGATGGTGCCACTCCCAGATCAAATGGGTCCCTTTATTCATCCAAATGTAATGATGGTCATTATGGCCAAACAGTTCAACTTTAGTTTTATCTCAACGCAAGACAAGTCTCAAAAAAATTGGTTTTTGTCCATCTGTGCATTTGCAAACTGCAATCTGTTTTTTTTTTGTTTGTTTATTTCTGTTGGAATAATGGCTCCTTTTGTGCTGAGTGGCAATATACAAGTTGCACATTTTTGGACCAATATGTGTATTTCTCCAGGACATACAACCCTATAACTCTTTCATGAGCAGTGTGATGGTTGGACATCATATCTATACTTGCATACTTTGGACAGATAAATGAAGCACTTTCAAGCATATGGAAACTGTTTCTAAGGATGAACCAGACTTGTCAATTGTCTTTCTGAGCTGACTTGTCTTGACTTGTTTTTGTGTCAAACAATAAAGAAATGTGTTCCAGGTGTGGCCTTCAAATACATCCACAGGTGTGCATTCAATTAACCTGAATATATCAATTAACCTATCAGACATTTTCAAAGCCTTGACATCATCTGGGTTTTCCCTTCATTATTTAATGATATAGTAATCATTCTGTATGTAAACTTTGCTTTTGAAGACATTAATAAATACATTTCTGACATTCTCACACTTGTGGCATTTAGGTGTGTATATTTTATAAACTTTGTATTTATTACCTCAGATGGAGTAGCTTGTCAACAAATAAGCAATTTCCCCTTGGAGATTAATAAAGTATATTCCATTCTGTTCAATTTAGCAAACATATTAAGCCTATATATTGCTTTCATAAGCATTCTATTGAAACATTTTTGCAAAAGTATTTCTGTTTATATTTTTGCTACCATTTGTTTTGTTTTTTTCTTTTAGTCCGTAAAATACGAAATTTGCACATGACCTTATATTTGTCTGACGTCATTTTAAAATATTTAATCAGATGTTATCAGTTATTCAGTGGCCTACTTAATTAGTTGTTTACGAATTACTTTTTAAATCTTTTTACTGTTTTTTAAAATATTTTTTTACTTGAAGAAAATATGTTGCTGTAGTTCTACTTTTTCTAAATCCATCCCTTAGTCAGTTTTAATAGCCTCCGTCCACAATCTTGTGGTTTCTGTTGGTTCTTAAGATCTGAATCGATGAGGATGACGTCATGGTCCCTGTTTCGAATGTCGGGAACGCGCCCTGGGTAGGAGGCCGCGCGTTCTGCTGGGGACACAACTTGTTCAAATCTAAAGCTCAAGGTCGTTGACAGCCTCCGGTACCTTGGATTTCAGGTACTGTCTTTATCCTAGAAAGGCATAGGACTGTCTCGCTGCGTATTACCAATTTTAAACTCGCCAGAAGAGTGTCGGGAAGCGCACTCGTTTAGGTTGACTATGCTAGTAGCGCGGCTAACGTTAGCCAGCTAAAGCTAGAGTTTATTCGATTAAAAACAACCCGGATTTGATTGTTGTTTGTTACCAGGGATACATTAGTTTTTATCTGTGTGAGTTCCTTTGTAACGAAAGGTAAACGTGTAAGTTTTGTTCCTCTTTTCGCGTTGGTATGTAGTGTCAGACAGATAAAACGGCCGTCGCGGCTGTTTGCTAATGTTACTGTTTGCTTTGAGCTATGCCAGTACTGGACGGCTGTTGTTTTCTACCACAGCCTGTCAGTGGGAAGTTGCTTAGCTTAATTTTAAGCAATCTTCCCTTCATAATTGCCGAATATTTAGTTATGTAAGAGTTTGGGGTATGTTTTTGAGTTGGTTTCGTAGTTGCCATGTCTTTCGGTGTTGTTCCTTGTATGGCAACTTTTTTCCTGATCTACATCTTGCTTTGCGGCGGAAGAAAGTGTAATCCATCAGCTAGCTGCTGTTTTCGCATACCGTCGCTCCCCCTTTAAACGGCAGCGGTGAACGACTCTTTTGTAGCTTTTGTTTGTTGATCCTTTCTGGTTCTTTCCTGATAAATCCTCAGCTTAATAGGATAAGCACTTTTTCAGGCTTTGCCTTAATACGTGAAAACGTAGCTCTGTTTTACTTTGATTATATTTGTCACCTGATCTGAAAATGTTACTGTTGTTGCTTGCTTTCTTTTTAAAACTTGGTTTGGATTCAGATTTTGCTTTATTGTTCTTTGATACCGTAAAGAGTGAACTGGACTTTGTCACTCAGTTATTGGTGTTCGCTGAACTTATAAATCTGTTCGGCTAACTTTTATGAAATTTAACATTCCAAAATGATATTGGACCGCAGTCATCTAAAACCCTGAATTTGCTTCAGCTCTGTTCTCATGCCGCAATGCCAATCTCCAAGCTCTTTTAGCTGAAAAATGAAAAAAAAAAAACTCATCTGGTTAGATGGGAACCGCTGGACAATTTTGACTAACTGATTTTCCCACATTTTCAGGAATATCCTCTCCCACCCCCCTTCCCCCTCTGTCAGAGCATGGCTCAGGAGACCAATCAGACGCAAGTGCCAATGCTTTGCACTATGGGATGTGGTTTCTATGGTAACCCCCGCACCAATGGCATGTGCTCTGTCTGCTACAAGGAACACCTGCAGAGACAACAGGGAGGGGGACGAACCAGCCCTCCCGGAGAGAAAGGTAGGACAGAAAACCTGCCAACAACTGGCTTCAGTCTGATATGGTTTGCTTTCAGGAGCTTCAGAGCTCCTGAATTTGCTAAAAGGAGTTGGAGAACAGCTGCCTACACTGTGGCATAAGAAAGCAACAGAGTGACATTGTCATGTGCTGTTTAACCTGAACTCAACTTACAATTGATCTTCTTTGACCAAGGCAGTGTGTTTTCTTTATCAAGACCCTTGAAATAAGAAAAAAAAAAATCTCTCTGTAAGTTCTCTGTTGTCACACTTTTCTTTCCACACAGCTGCTACATCACCGTCAGCATCACCAACATCAGCGAGTGTAACCGTGGAAGACACAAACTCAGAGCTTAGTACAGAAGCAGCAGGAACCCAAGCTGAGGAACAAACAACCAGGTATGCTGACAAACTCCTGGACCATTTCTCTGTCTTTTACATGTATAAAATTTGTCTCATTTATCTTGGCCCCAATATCTGTTCCTTTGATTACCAATACAACATGGGATGGTAAGCCTTTTTGTAGGCATAAAAATTGGTAAAACAATGTTGGCATGAAGGTTGAGAAGAAGTGTGTTTAAAAAAACAGCATATTTGAGTTGGTTATTGATTAGAATATTCTACCTTTTTTTTTTTTTTTTTTAGTTCTACTTTTTATAAAGTAATGTGCGACAGAGTATTAGGGCCTTTGTAGATCAAATAAAAAATAATGTGACCACGAATGACTAAATTTCTGCCAAAAACTCAGAAATTTCTTGATCAATTTCTCGGATTTACAAGAAAAGGCTTGGATATTCTCTATCAAAAGTTCTACATTTACAAGAAATGGCAATAATTTCCCCTTGATTAAAGGCAAAAATGTACAATGTTTAAACTAAGAAATTTGCAAGAAAGAAAAATATCTTGAATTGATCAGAGGAAAACTCAGAAGTTTAGTGAGATTATAAAGTCAGACATTTGCAACAAAACATGACAGAAGTCCTGGGATTGCAGTGGGGAAAAATTGGAGTTGTGCATCTGGATATTTTCCAGAGTGTAAGTGGGACATCTAAGCTCTTTTCCGGTATCGGAATATCTCTCGGGTGCAGAATCGACACAGCCATGCTGCAGCTTTCCTGACTATCCGTATCCCGTTGGAGGCGCTCATGGTGATTCTGCACCTGGGACGTGTCGTTTGGTACAGGAAGAGCCTGGATGTACTATTTACACTTTGGAAAATATCCAGATGTGCACCTCTTTAATTTGCCACTTCAGTCTTAGATGATGTCACAAATGTTTGACCTCAGTAAACCTAACAAATCTTTTTGGCCAATTTCTGGCTTCATAATGTCAGAGGATGTCTTAGTTTTATTGCTGTAAATTTATGTCTCTAATCTTGGAAAATTGTCTCTTTTTTCCCCCTCACATACTTGCTTCTTTACACATTTTTCTTTTCTTTTTTTTTTTCAAAACATGTGGTCACACTAGTTCTTAAGCCTTTTCAAAAGTTTTTAAGTAGCATGCTTACTTATGAAAATCAAATTTAAGCAGTATTTAGATTGGTTGAGTGATACATTTGGATTTTTTTTTTGTCCTTTTGTTGTCAACTTGTAGCTTGCTTGTATCTAAATAGTTACAGCATAGGGAAAATACATGTTGTCTTTGTTTGGTTGGTGTATTGGAGGGTGTCAAACTCATTTTCATGTCAGACCACATCAAGACCATGAATGTCCTCTATGGGACAGATGTGACAGAATGCATAGATAAAACCACCAAATTACAAACTGTTACAATAAGTATAGCCTTTTCTGAATTTGAGTTACACTTCTAATATTTGTTTTCTATTCACAATGCTATGATATGTCCCTATACAAAATAATATTTCATCAAACAACCATTATCTTGAAGTTCTATTTCTGTGGGTCTCCAATTTCTAAAGGGCTACAGAAATACTAATATGTCTCACTAAGTTAGAATGTGGTGTGAAAGTGCACAATTTCTTGCACATTTGCATGTCAAGCCACTCTTGAACCATAGACGTCGTCAGAGGCGTCTCTCACCTGGACTGAAGAGAAAGCAAACTGGACTGTTGCGCAACGGTCCAGAGTCCTGTTTCCAAGTTGAAATAAATTCTGCATTTTATTTTGAAATTGAGGTCCCAGGGTCTGGAGGATGAGTGGAGAGGCACGGACTCCATGTTGCTTAGAGGTCCAGTGTAATATTTTCGGTCAGTGATGGTTTGCCATCAGTCATGATCATTAAAATGCCAAAAAAAATAAAAGCGTGAAATGCCTGAAATAACCGTTTCACTGTCTGAGACGACTGGAAAGAAACATTCCACTTTTGCTAATATTAAAATTTTTTTAGATGTACTAGCATTTGCCCCACAGGCCTTGAGTTTGACACGTGATGTATAACTTTACGATTGTGCCCTTATCAGATTTCGTGCAAGGAACTTTAATTGCAGCTTTGCTCTGGTTTTCATTTTATCCTCATTTTTCTGTCTTATCTGTCTCATCTTTCTGCTCCCTTTCATAGATACTCTTTCTCCATAAATCTTTTTTGACTATTTGATCTGTCTAATTTCAAACTGTGCTCCTGTTTTGTGGTGATAGTCCCAGTTCTCCGAGCCCAGTAACTCAACAGATGACAGCTATGAGCATCTCCCCAGACTCGGGGGCTGTAGACTCCGATCGAGCAGTGGTCGAGGAAGCGGAGGAGGAGGAAGACGAGGAGGAGGGCACATCCAATAGCGCAGGTGAGCATCACATAAAGGGTTTTCAAGAAAAGTCCTTATAGTGGTGTAAATGGGAAAAACATGTCTTAATTTATGCACTACTTTAGTATTCTAGTATTCAGTCTTTGGTAAAATAAATGTGTAGTTCTTAGCTTTCACTTTTTGTCTCAGACGATACTGCTTTAATGCATACTCTTTGAAACTTGTTAGTAGTCGTCATACTATTTGTATAAAGAAGAGTTAAATTCTTATGGTACTTTGCTTAAACGCTTAGTGATCTGTTTAAGCTCCTACCATTTTAAGCTTTAAAAAAAAAACAAATGTCCACTTCTACAAAATGCTATATTGACTCATGAAATTAATGCAGAATGAGATTGCTTAAACTACTAGATAAATATTTTATGGTTATTCACCACAAATACAATCCTGTTGCAAATGAGTAGTAATCTAGTGAAAGAATGTGAACTATTTTGATTTCATATCAGATTTTAGCTTTTTTTTTTTTTTTTTTTTTTTAAAAAAAAACCACCTGTCAAAAAAAATGTGTGAAATTTTTTTTTAAAATTTAATTTTTACTAAAAGA